GATGGCAACCATGCAAAAGGCCACACCATCCTGGTCTTTATACCTTCGATTAAGAAATATTATCTTTATCCTTGAGGCAAAAACCATTAAATAAGTTTATATATCACTGCAACAATTAGCATGCCATCCCAGAGATTCGAGGGGCTCAACAGTTGGTAGCTCATTTTTAGTGTGCTACTTAACTAAGTATTCTTTTCTGTCGACCCAATCAGCAGATAATTAGTATTCTAATAAAAAACTGGGTTCTGAAGAATGCCTTACTCATTAATTGTTACGCGACTTTCTATTCCGTATGAAAAGTTGGTTGCATAAAATTCGGGAAATAGTCTTGGAGTAAAGACTGGAGTCGACCACGATGAGCCTATACTAAGGTTTCATCTGTACTGTGACAGACGTCATCAGAACAAGAATCCATACTTTAGCGCAAAAATACACAAAACTGGGAGAAAAGGTAGCCGGTTGCATAGTATAGCAAGCTTTTATCGTCTTCGAACCCCGCTTTTTCTTCAAATCTTCCTCGGTTTACGAGCAAACCATTTCGGAAATTTCTTTCAACCAACTTTTCCTTAGAAATGGAAAGTCATATCACACTTATTACTATGACCGAATAAAGTGAGGGGGGATAAACCTAAGAAAAAGACTAAAGGAATAAACTATATATATATATATATATATAAATGATTTTGGCTTTCTTACTTTTACGCTGACCGAATCTTCTATCAATCCGTGTTTTTCCTGTGTATTTCTCTCCTTTGTTTGAGATGATTTGGTAGAGGAATTCGTTGTAAAAGTATTTTCAGAAAGCATGAAACTGATTTTGTCAAGTGAAAAGCTCGTCATCTGGCTAATGCGACCCAGTTCACGTGCTGTGCCGTTGAGATTTGTTGTCGTGGCATTTGTTGGTGTAATGGATTGGGTGCCATTATTGACTCCAATTTCTTTGTTATCAATGCTTTTAGTACCATTCATCATTACTGTGTTAGGCGAACTGATATTCGATGAAAGGGTGGGTATTGTAGCTCCTGATTCTTCACAAACTGCCATAACAGAAGAATTAATGTTAATGGGCATACTAAGAGGGCTCCAAGTGGCACCACGGTTGTGTGTGATCACTGTGTGCAGGGTCCGGTCTGCGTTTAGTCTGGTGGCCAGATAGGTTCCACGCATTGAGGCCACTCTTGAGAAGTCGGTAAGCGGAGCATGATTCGGAAAAAGATGGTGACGAAGAGATTCTGAGAAAACGACTCCGGTAGCATCAGAGATGTAGAGAGTGCCATGACCAGTATCTCAAGATTAAAGTGTCAAAAAAGAATGAAAGAAATAAACAGAATAAAATTAAAATATATTTTGAAATATTTCTAATAAATAATAGCGTTAGCGTTGGTTCTCTAAGATAATTTTTCATTCCCAAGGCATTTTGACCCCAAAGTTCGTTTATTTCA